TTCTTGCAGTATGCGGTCGTGCGTTATCATGGTGAAGAAATACGCCCTTCCAATTAATCAGCGCGGGTTCTTTTTCTCTTAAAGCTTGGGCTAACCTTTCCAATTGGGCACTATACACTGCACTTGTAATGGTTTGGTTAGATGGTAAAAGTTCATAATGAAGAATTCCTTTAAAATTCCACCAAACACACATCACTTTTTTCGCATGCAAGTCAGGTTTTGGCGTGGGCTGCGGAGCCTCATTTTTGTCCAACCATTGAGGCCGCCTTTTCAAATTAACATACAGCACCCATTTTTCATCTCCAGTAACAATTTGCTCTAAAAACGGCAAACGGTTTTTGACGAGAGAGGAGCGAACTGCAAATTGTGACTCTTTGATTACGGTTGTTGTTGGTCAACTCATGAGGAACCCATTTTCCAAACTTTTGGACTTTACCAAGTGCACGCAATTGATTGGAAATTGTTTTTTGTGAACAATTTAAAGTTGTTGCAAGCTCTTGTTGGGTAATTTGAGGATTTTGCACCAAAAGAGCTTGAAGAGCTTCTTGATCAAAATTGTACACACGGCCTCGACCACTCTTGTCATCTAACGAAAAATTTCCCTCGCGAAATTTCTCAAACCAACGCTGGCATTTTCAGGCGCTAACTGCATCTTGACCAAGAGCACTACAGATGTTTTTGCAGCCTCACTTGCTTTTCTTCCTAATTGGAACTCGTAAAGCATGCAGTGCCGAATATGCTCTTCATCCGCCATCTTCTTAGCCCTAGTTTTGCAACAAAAACCAAACCAAAAACAAACTTTTTCAAACAAAACTTGTTAATTGCACTTCACACGTTCTGTAGATACCACTTGTTTGAAGGTTATGTCAATACAAGTCAACGCCAAGCAAGATTTTAAACGAATGTTTAAAAACGACATTAATTATTACTAGACCCGATAAAACACAAAGAGTGAATCTAGAGTGACCTATGGACTTTATTTTTTTTTTTAATATTTTATTGATTTTTTTTTGCCCCCCTCCCTCCCTCCCTCCCACACATCCCCTCTCTCCCCAGAGTTTTGTGTTCATTGGTTGTACTTATATGCATGTATAAAAGTCCTTCGGTTGATCTATTATCTCCCCCAGATCTTCCTCCCCTCCCCGCTGTAATTTGACAGTCTACTTGTTGATACACTGTCTCTATATCTATCTTTTGGTTCATCAGTTTATAATGCTCTTTATCATCCACAAATGAGTGAGGTCATGTGGTGTTTCTCTTTCATTGATTGGCTTATTTCACTGAGCATGATGTTCTCCAATTCCATCCAGGTTGCTGCAAATGATGAGAATTCCTTCTTTTTTATGGCAGCATAGTATTCCATTGTGTAGATGTACCATCGTTTTTGGATCCAATCATCTGCTGACGGGCACCTAGGCTGTTTCCAAATTCTGGCTATTGTAGATTGTGCTGCTATGAACATAGGGGTGCATATATCCTTTCTGATTGGTGTTTCTAGTTTCTTGGGATATATTCCTAGAAGTGGGATTACTGGGTCAAATGGGAGTTCCATTTTCAGTTTTTTGAGGAAACTCCACACTGTTCTCCACAGTGGTTGCACCAGTCTGCATTCCCACCAGCAGTGCACGAGGGTTCCTTTTTCTCCGCAACCTCGCCAACACTTGTCGTTTGTTGATTTGTTGATGTTGGCCATTCTGACAGGTGTGAGATGGTACCGCATTGTTGTTTTGATTTGCATCTCTTGGGACCTATGGACTTTAATAATAATGTGCCAGCACTGGCACATCAATTGTAACAAATGTACCACACCAATGTAAGATGTTCATAACAGAGGAAATGGGGAGAAGAATTAATATGTGAGAAAGTTCTGTATTTTCTGTACAATTTTTTTTCTAAATCTGAAAATGTTCTGAAAATAAAGTTTGTTTTAAAAAATATATAAGCTCATTTCAAAGATGACCAAAATATAATGAAGTGAGAATCATAAAAAACTCCCAAGTAATTTAATTTAGATCATTGAATTATTACATACAGATTATAAAAGATCCTTATGTAATCACAAAACTAGCAAGCAACAAAAAAAGTGATCATAAATGACCAAATATATTTGAAAAAAATCTAATTTCAAGTATCTAATTTTAAGTTTCAGCAATTATAATTTCAAAATATAATTGCTGAAACTTAAAATTCAATAGGTGGAGTAAATGGCCAATAAGACATATCTAAGTAGATTCATATGAATTCTAAAGAAATTTTTCAAATTCAGCACAAAGTCCCATATAAGGGAAATATACAATGGAAACTAATAGCCCTAACTGGTTTGACTCAGTGGATAGAGCATCGGCCTGTGAACTGAAAGGTCTCAGGTTCAATTCCGGTCAAGGGCATGTACCTTGGTTGAGGGTACATCCCCGGAGTAGGGGGTGTGTGCAGGAGGCAGCTGAATGACGTTTCTTTCTCATTGATTTTTCTAACTCTCTATCCCTCTCCATTCTTCTCTGTAAAAAGATCAATTAAATATATTTTTTTTAAAAAAAGGAAACTAATAGGTCTGGAGGCAATAACAAGGTTTAACATACATTTAACTAGGGTTTTATAATTAAAGTAAGGCACTAGTCTACAGACAGCAAACTTCTCAACACAAGCAACAGAAAGCCAGAAAACATGCATTAATATAACCAGAAGTCAAAGAAAGAATTCTCAACTGGTAAAAATATTTTGTTCCTAGTGAAACATAATGTTAAATATATAGCATCTAATAAAATATATAGCATCTAATAAAATAGCCTTTTAATACATATAAAGTAAAAATCAATAGAACTACAAGGGAAATTTTATAAACCTACCATTGTAGTAGAAAATAACAGTAAATCTCAATAACTGATAAGTCAAGAAAACAAAAATAGTAGTAGATAGACAGATGATTTAAGCACAATATTTAAGGAATCCTGTACTCATTCCCACTCTTCTCAAGCGACATAGAATATTTACAAAACCTGATGGCATAATGGGCCAAACCAAGTCTCAAAATATTTTGGAGAACTGATATCATCATAACCAGATTTTTTTCTTGCCACCATTAATTAAGAATTCAGTAACAACAAAAAAAATTTACCTACACATTTGGAAATTTTAAAATTCACCTCCAAATGATTCTGGGCCAAAGAAGAAATCATAATGGAAATGTTTAAATATCTAATACTGAACAATAAAAATACCATTTGTCAAAATTTGTGGAAGGCAACTTCTTAAAAGAAAAATATACCATTAAATTGTTTTAAAGCCTGAAAAGCATGCCAACATAAAAGGTTAGAGAATAGAGTAAATATAATAAAATAGCAACCAAAACCAGAAGCTTAACAAAGTCAAGAACTGGTTTTTTAAAGAAGATAAATAAAATAGATAATTGTGGTAAAATTAAGGCATAGAAAAGAAAGGAGACAAAATAAATAACATAAATAATGAAAAAAGGGTAGGAAGCTACAGATACAGGAGAAGATAATGAAAGACTCTGAACAAATAATAGCAAATTTGAAAACATGTGACTTAGAAAAATATATCACTGACCCAACATAGAAAATATAAATAAATTTGTAAGCATTAAAAATACTTAATCTGTAATTAAAATCATCCCCTAAACTAAATCCAAGACTCAGGCATATTTATAGACAAGTTTTACCAAACACCCACAGAATAAATCATTCTAATCTTACACAAAAAAAGGGTAATATTTTGCACCTTATTTGTTTAATGGAACTAATCTCAACCTGGCAGGAACAGTACCAGAAAGAAAAATTATAGACAAATCTAACTGACAACATAGATGTAAAATCCTAAACAAAGTATTAACAAACCAGATCCAACAACATAAATATTAACAATGATACCTTTATTCTAGAATGCAAGCTTACTATGAGAAGCTATATTTATGATTCATGTTATTAAAATTAGTAGATTAAAGAAAAATAATATTGATAGGTACATCAGCTACATCTAATTAAAATAAATAATTTTTCATGGTAAAAGAAAAAAAAAAACTAGCCAGCAAGGAATAGAAAGAATAGAAAGACACTTCCTCAATTGATAGAGTATCCTAAAAAATATAAAATAAACATGTTCAGTAGTGGAATATTAAAATTATCGCCTTTAAAATCAGAAGACAAGAATGACCAATATCACCACATCTATTTAAATTGTACTGAATAATCTTACTAACTAATGCAAAAAAGACATAATAGATGAAAAGGTTGTGTTCAAGTTTGAACTTATAGCATCATCATGACCTGAAGTCAAAAAAATTTCTAACCTTAGTAGTAGGAATACATGAATTGGTGGGGACTAACTACCTGCCCATACAGACATTTTAAGAAATTTACTCTATCTTCAACGATGACATTGGTACTGGCTTACTTATCTATGTATTATCATTTAAATACTGTTTTAAATTTTTAATGGTTATTTCATAAATAGTGAAATGTGAAAACAGCAAGTAATTACTCCATTGAAAACTGAAACTAATACAGCAGAGACTTACCATCATCATCTCACTACTCTTCAGATCAAACAAAGACTTGGTATTTTCATGTTGATAATAGAGCATATATTGTCCTTTCATTTAGATACTATTATCACAATAATGAAAGGAACAGTTTACAAGTCGCAATAAATAGCCACAGTGAACGATGACAACAAAAATTCACCTTTTTTTTAGGACTAGGTTCAAGACCCATTCCTTTTTTCCTCCATCTCACTCCCTCTTATCATCCTGGTTCCTGGATTACACGATTTACAGTGGAAAAGTAGGCAGATGTGGTAAGAGGTAGTAGCAATTGACAAGAATTACCCAGAGTGCGGGTTAATGCAGTTAATTGACTTGGCAAATGAAAATTGTATGTTCGGTTACTCAGAAAAAATAAATCTTTATAAACAATTTTGACTGTGGGGCCTATGTTTTAAAAGATATCATTTGAATTATTTCAAAATAGATACTGAAAACAAACCTCATTTGGCTCTTCACCACCTTTCACTTGGTTTTCACCCATTTCTCCATTTTCGTAGCTGCTGCTCTTCTCAACCCATAACTCAGATTTTTCTACAGTTAGTCGAAGCTGGTCGAGATCTGCCTTTATTTGCTTGTAGTTATCTACATCTTGATTTGACACCAGCAGTTGCACCTGGAAACAGAAGAATTTCAACCCTTAATTTACTTAAGGACTTTCTGTATTCCTATTTCATTTATGTCTAAAATTCCAAGTTTTTACATATTTATCTATCAGTTGAAGATTCACATTACTGGAATGTTTATTGATATTTAGATGTATATTGACTTAGAAAATTCACCTGGAAGTATCCGTAAACTCTATCCAGTATATTCACATGTTATAAAGAATTACATATGTAAAAGGAATGAACCCTAACAAAGCTCTTCTAAGTGCTAAAGAGTAATTTGAAATAAAAGATACCCTAATTTTAATTTCACTTTGAAAGTTAATTTTTCTAAGACTCTCTCTGTTTTAAAAAGAAGAAGAAACATAAAAATAAGTGTAAGAACATACCAATACAGTCTAAACCTCATGATATCAACTTTTATTTTATCATAACCTATATGTATCATATGGCATACAAATAAATGCATAATTATATCAATTTATATAAATAATTACTCCTTTTTATTTAAAAAAATAAAAAAGTAATTTATATTCTTGTAAAGCTTTCTAATGAAGACCAATGCTCTAATAAATAAAGTAAATATTAGTGAAACATATGCAAGCACTCAGGTATTATTCATTAAGTCTCAAGAAGACATAAGGAAGGTCAAGAGACATATGAAAACATGTTCAAAGTCACTAATTATCCGAGACATGCAAATCAAAACAACAATGCAGTACCATCTCACACCTGTCAGAATGGCCAACATCAACAAATCAACAAATGACAAGTGCTGGAGAGGATGCAGAGAAAAAGGAACCCTGTGCACTGCTGGTGGGAATGCAGACTGGTGCAACCACTGTGGAGAACAGTATGGAGTTTCCTCAGAAAACTAAAAATGGAACTCCCATTTGACCCAGTGATCCCACTTCTAGGAATATATCCCAAGAAACTAGAAACATGAATCAGAAAGGATATATGCACCCCTATGTTCATAGCAGCACAATTCAAAATAGCTATATAGGTGGAGAGATCAACCAAAGAACTTGAAGCACGCATATAAGCCTAACCAATGGACACAGACAACAGGGAGGTGAGGGCATGAGTGCAGGGGGGGGGGTGGGGGGATGAATTAAAGGGGGAATAAGGACACATATACAATACCTTAATCAATAAAGAAATTTAAAAAAAAAAAGAATTTTTGTGACCTATTAAAATAAAAATCTTCCTTCAGGAATAAAACACACACACACACACACACACACAAGATTCAATGTCATTCAAAAATGACAATGAGCCGAAACTGGTTTGGCTCAATGGATAGAGTGTCGGCTTGGGGACTGAAGGGTCCCGGGTTCAATTCCAGTCAAGGGCATGTACCTTGGTTGAGGGCACATCCCCCCAAGGGGGTGTGCAAGAGGCAGCTGATCGATGATTCTCTCTCATCAATGTTTCTAACTCTCTATCTCTCTCCCTTCCTCTCTGTACAAAAAAATCAATAAAATATATATATTTTTTAAATGACAACGAAAAAGATTAGATCCATAATAATTTCTTTCTTTTGGATGCAAACATTTTTCAATCACATAACATTATATTTCAGTGCTACTGATTGTCCTACCCAAATTTATCAGTAAATCTGAGGTCGACATAGCAGCAGCAGCAGCAACAAAATTCCTAATCTCAGCATTATCCCCTAGTAGCCTTCCTAAATCATAGAGCCTGTCATTTACATTAAAGATATTAACTTAAAATCACCTGTGGGCACTCTTTATATGATAGATCATGCCATGGCTTATGTCAAGGCCTTATCTATCTTTAAAACAGAACGTGTCTCCAGGAAAAGCGGCACAGTCTCCTTAAGTCTGCAGTGGGGAGCCAGATTGGGTGTCCTGAGCAGCACTTATGGAACTCCCGCTCTGGAGCCACCCAGGGCGCCCTCTCACCTGTTTAAATGCCTGTAGAACCTCCGCTCTCTGGCTGAAGTGCTTGAACAGAAGCTGCAGAGCTCCTGACAGCAGAGGAGGGTAGTCATGCATGATCAGATGAATGAGGACCCGCAAGAAGGTCCTGCCGCCTTCGTCATCAAGTTGAACTGGATTTTTTTCCTTTCTAGAAAGCCAAAAATAATTCTAAAACCAGTTGTGTTGATATCAAACCCACCCATAGGTAGTAGTTAAAACTGTGTATACATTCTGAGATAGCACTCTCCTCTTCCCATCCCCCAAAAAAAAATTTGGAAAGGAAAAAGGATGACATTTTTACTCTTTTTCTTCTCTCGTGTAACTGAGAAGGAAACAGAACAGCTTGTGATTGTCCATGAAAGCAGGGAGACCAACTGTCCTCTAGTGTCCAGGGCACAGGGGTTTCCAGCATTTGCACTGTTTTCCAGGCACACGGGGATGGGTTAGTCAACGAGGCAATGAAAAAAGATAGGGAACTGAATCAACCCAAAGTGTCTGCTGAGAAGACATAATAGGTTGGATGTGCACCAAGGGTTGACTTCCCTTAGAGCCTACAGAACTCTGTGTCTGATGGGGCAGGGTTGAGGAGGTGCAGTGCGCATGCACACACACATCCCACCATCCCCACAACAGCTCTGTGTGTTTCCTGTGTTTGGACTCTGAGCAAGATTCCTCTGGATAAAAAGTCCTTTTATTTTATGGTGAAAATCGGACACTGGTTTACCCTCCCTTCTCAAGAATAATAAAATATTTGGATAGGAAAACACACATGATAACAACAAAAATGGGCAAAACAATATAAAAACAAAGCCAAGCCAAATGTTTGCTACAGAGAAAAATCGTTTTTGGTTCCCTTGATCTTTCTGTCTTGTTTGTCTTTCTAACCAAAGAAAAGGCGACAAAAGGCTTAGTATATAAACTTGTTTAGGCTCTCGTGGCAAATCTGTAATAAAAAATGAATGCTGAGAGCGCAATAATTTGTAGTTGAGGCATGTTACTTTCTTTTTGACTGCAATTAGTTTCATTTCCGACAAAGAGGGAAACAAGTTACAAACAACAAAGAGCAGGGCTGCTGGGCGGTCATGCCAGAGGCATCTTATCTTCTTTGATCCTGGATATTTCCAATTGGCAGAAAATATCTGTATTTCTCACAGATAAAGTTAATGATGACATTGGAAGAAGTGACTTTCTTGTCTCAAATTTCTCAGCTGTATGGAAGCAATGTTTTGTAAGATGCAGCAATATTTTTACCAGGGGAGTCAAAGGTCATTGCTATGCTGTCATTATTTGAGGAAAGAAAAGAAAAGAATTCAGGATAAAGGAATTCAGGAAAATACACTGATTTCAGTTCTCTTGTCCTTTTTTTAACCTGCCCTAAAGAAAAGCTATGCTTTCTCTTCTACAGTAAATTATCAGATTCATTTTGGGGGGCAAAAATTATAATCTAAAGTTAAATAGATATAGGAGGTGAACAATAACAAAATATCAATAAAATTCTAAGTAAATTTTTATTCACAAGATAAAGATACATAAATGTTACTGTACCTTCCAGCAAACATAGTTTCTGCCTGAGCTGCGATTTCGTCTATATCAGGAACAATAGCTGCAAAGATAAATGGAAAAACCTATTCTTTATCGTAGTGTAATTAAGTCACAATATGTATAGTGATATAGCTAAAAATATTCTGTCTCAATTTCTTCATACACCAGAATCAATTAAAGGTTTTAAAAGTTATAATACAGTTCCACCTTAGACATCAATATTTTAAAGTGAATTTTACATTTTTAATATACATTGCTATCCTCAAAGATATGTTTAAAAGATCAGAACGGCATTTACAAAGTTGCCTCACCCATACAGGTGTATGTATAGGTGCATCAACTACACATACACACACACACACACACACACATAAACATTTAAATGGGCGATGACATGAAAGGATAAAGTTTTTTTCCCCTTTTTTTATTGATTATGGTATCACATAATTGTCTTCATCCTCCCCATTCCCATCCCAAACCCTCCCCTATGCCCCTATTGTCCATGGCCACTGGCTAGGATAAAGTTTTTGAAAGAATCAAAATATACCTATAATGAACCTTGTGACTTACAACCTAAGCTTACTTCTCAAATCCCATCCCTTCCCATAGGACATGGTGCTTAACTTTTTATATGAACCAATCATGATTCCTCACCCATCCCCATCACTAACATTTTGAAGATATCTTGATTAAGATAACATGTTTAAATAACAAGTACACACTTTATTTATCATCTCCAAAGCATAAAAAGAAAACAGAGCAAGATATAAACAGGGAAAGGGAATTCTCCCGCAGAAAGCTCTCGCTTGCAAATACAACCCATGCGAGAAGAAATCAGGTAAATGAGACAACTGGCTTTCTGGGCGTGCCCCCCTGACTTTCCCTCCCACACTCCACTGACACTTAGCGCGCCTGCTTCCAGAAGTCTGGCTTCTGAGAGCCAGTAATTTTTATGCTACTGTCAATGCAACCGCCAGCAAGACTTTCTCGTCCTGCCACATCATTCCTGGAAACAGCCCTTTGGGGTTCTGCACTTCTGGGAAGCATAAAAACAACACTGCTGCAAACGTGCCAGGAGTGACTGCTCGCTTAGGCAAGCTTCCCCGTCTGCAGAGGCACGCTGCCTTTTGGGTGGGACAGAGCCAGACAGGGGAACATTTGGTCTAGCATCCATTTTAACTAAACTCTGGAAATCACTGAATCATTCCTGTCAGATTGATTGACGTATAAAGAGGAGGGTTCCTGATGTTGCCACAGTGGTGTGGTTAGAACCGTGGTCGGCAAACTGCGGCTCACAAGCCACATGCGGCTCTTTGGTTCCTTGAATGTGGCTCTTCCACAAAATACCACGGCCTGGGCGAGTCTATTTTGAAGAAGTGGTATTAGAAGTTTAAGTTTTAAAAAATTGGCTCTCAAAAGAAATTTCAATCGTACTGTTGATATTTGGCTCTGTTGACTGAGTTTGCCGACTACTGGGTTTAGAAGAACCTCTCATATCTGCATACGAACCTTATCCCCAGAAAAAGAATTCTGCTAACTGGCTAATTCATTAATACACAGTTCACTACCCAGAAAAATGTCAATTTAATACTTCTTAGGCTTCATCAAATACTTTCTATAGTCAGAAAACTTTTAGAATTATTTTTATGCTCTGTCATCATTATGGTCCTCCACTCAGAGATAGGGTGGCTTTATTCTTATAAATGTGGAAAAAATGAAATTCATTAATAGTTTGTAACCATGAGAAGTGAAAAACAACACACATACAAACCAACACCCACAGTCACACATTCACACTGGGAAATGCCTTCTCCTAATTCAAAAGCTGCGCAGTGGCTTCCTACAAAACAGCTTTCCTCCGTGGCTGTATTTCACATTGTTCTTTGATCCAGAGCACCCCCCCAAAAAAAAAAAATTCCCCTTGGGTTTTCGCCAAAATAGCATCGTGCTTAAAAGATTCAGACTGTGGAGTTGGGGGAACTTCAGAGAGAATCCCTGCTCCAAGACTTTCATGACCTTCAGCAAACAACCTAACCCCTCCGACCTTAGTTTTCTTATCTGTAAAAGGGAATAAACAGTCCCTCCGCCTTACAGTGCCCTGAAGATTCAAAAAGAAACCACTCAAGCACCAAGTAACAGCAAATGTCCTCCCTGACATTCGAGGCAAGTTATTTAATGTCCTGCCACATTCAGTCCCTTCTCCTGCGTGTCATTAGTGGGGATTATTTCCACATTTTGTTTCTTAGAAATATTAGTACTACTGTGTTTTTTAAAATATGAAATGTGTTTTCCAGTATTGAGGGAAAGAAAATACAAAGAGTTAAAGCTGTCACAAAAGAGGTACCTGCTGGGATCAATGTATCTGGAGAGCCATTGGCAGAGGTTTCAGCATTCTCACTGCTCTCTCCGAACTCCTTCTTATATATCGAGAGCATGTAGGAGATCCTGTAATCCAGTCGGACACTCAGGATAAACTACAAGAAACATTCAAAACAACATAACTTCCCTTTGTTAGCACAATGGTTAAAAAATACATTTCATTGCACAACACCAAGAACATAAAACTATCAACATATCACGTGAACTAGTTACAATAGAAGTGTGTTGGTAAACGCCTAACACTTCAGTTGCTTACCACTCTTCAGCCATAGACTAAGAAGTGTGATGTGTTTTCCTTAATCGATGTCAGTAAAATCCCAAAGGATTTTCTTTGAAAGAAGAAAACTTAACCTTCCCATGAGTACTGTCTGAATATTTCAGGTAGAGGTACCCTATGGGTCTAGATGAAATGGTAACATCATTGCACTGAGCACTTCACCGAGAGTCCATTGGCTCTGGGAGGAGAATGCTGGCGCTGTGACCCTCATTCTCGCACAGAAAGGCCAAGGTGTCAGCTATCGTAGCGTGGATTCTGGCTGTCCCCCCATCGGTCCTGGGCCTATGCTCTAAAGGGCAGCTGAGGTCAGCGCATCCTCATACACCATGGCTGTGCCTCCCTGGTGCTTGTTTTCCTTGGGTGTGTGTTGTTGTCCTTGCTCTCCTGACTGGACCCATCAGGTTCCTGTCTGTGCTCAGCACTATGAAGAATGCAAACACTTGGCCCACAGCCCTCCAGGAGCCAATGAGCGAGTTGGGAAAATACACATAATCAGGAAACTATCGGGGGAGTAAAACCCAGTGGAGATCTGAGAAGGAAAAATATGTTCTACGGGTTTCTGAGTCAAGAAAGGAAACAATAAAGAAGTGGTCCTACACGGTTACTTTCCATGCTGGTGTGCCTGCCCTAGACCCTGAAGTAACCTGTGTCCCAGGGAAATTACCATCATGTCCCCTACATGCTTATGAGTTTCATGTGGACAGGAAACAGTGGCCAAGCAATTTTAGAAAACTTGGTATTTTGTGCTACTATCTCACCTTATTTCACACTGACACTTCTGCACCGCACTCCTCCCCCCTTCCTCCTGCCCATTCTCTCCTTCTCTCTCTCCAGCTTCTCTGATCCAATAGCACAGGTTGCCTGCAGTTCCTCTCTCGCCTTCCCACATTTGTTCTGTGTCCACTTTACACCTTGAATAGTCTCCTCCTTCAGCAATAACCTGCTTCTGAGATCCCCTCCAAGGCCCAGTTTAAATCTCTGTACCTTTTTGCTCACCCAGCACTTTATTTAAACTTATAGGTCCAAAGTCAAAGCTCAATCTCTCTTTCCCTCTTATCCCCCCACCCCCCGAATGGGCTCTCCTTTTCCCTCTTCTACTTTTTTCTTCTCCCTTGTTCTATCCCTCTCCCTCTTCCTAGTCCCTCTCCCCTAGACCTTTATGCTCCTTACGGGTAGCACACATGCTCCATGTCAGCTATGTCCTGTTAAGTTCAACATTTATTAAACTAGGTGCCGAGGGAAGTCCCAAGGGTACAGACAGGGTTCCAAGGAGAGAAGACCTGCCTTTGAAGAGCATGTCTTCTAGAGGGGAAAGCAAACACCAAAGAGACTCTTTTATTAGCATGTGGTGAGCACTGCAGCACAGGTTGTCTGAACCGATTCTACCTGACAGGATTTTCAAAGCAGGAGACGGAACGTGGGAAACAAGGCCTGAGAAAGGGTCAGTGGAGTTGGCAGCTTTCAGCAGAATGGTGGAAGCAGAAGCGAGATTGCAAGTGCTTAAAATAGCATTTTTATTTTAAACCTATGCAAAGAACAAATTCATAAAATAAGAATTAATGAAACATTAACTTTTAGTTGAAGTTACTAAACTTCATAGAATTATATTTTATAAATATAACCAATGTAAAAAAATTGTCTTCCTCTAACATACTGGGATGGGGAAAGGTAGGTTTATAGCTATTTGTATAAAAAAAATAATGAATAAATAATTCAAGAATAGACTGTGTTTCACATACTCACAATTATAAACCTACTTTTGCCCCCAACCTATATTTATTTATAAACAACCAATGGATGGAAGATAGAAAGATGGAAAGGGAAGAATGAAAACAAAGACAGAAAAAGGGTGTTGAGAGAGGGATATATATATATATATATATATATATATATATATATATATATATATAATCTACACACACACACACACACACACACACACACGAGGCCCAGTGCATAAAATTCATTAACTGGTAGTGTCCTTAGGCCTGGCCAGCAAGCAGGGCCAATAGGGGCCTTCCAGCTGTTGGCTGGGGCCTTCCTTTGATTGCTGTCTGGGGCCTCCCTTCCCCGGCTGCCAGCTACCGGCTGCTGGCTACCAACAAGGACCTTCCTTCATTCCATGACACCCCCTGGTGATCAGTGGACATCATAGCAAGCAATAGAACTACTGATCTCCCAGCAAACTCCCACGGGGACACTTTGCATATTAGCCTTTTATATATATAAATAAAGAGAGAGAAAAAATAAGAGAGAAATTAAACCAAAAAGGAGAGATATGTAAAGTGATGGGGAAAAGAAAAGATGTCCCTGAGTGAGGAGGGAGAGCCAGCAGAAAGCAGGGAACCTACATAAGGAGCATGGCCCTAAAGACATTCTTTAAGAGGATGTTCTAAGAAAGAAACATATTCAAGAACAGCACTCAGGAACACAGACACAGACACACACAAAACAGAGACCAGAGGGTCAACAAGAACTAGGGGTTGTGGGCTCATTTGGTCCACAGGTTGAGGGATTACAACCTTCCTCAGTTTCAGAACAGGAAGACTAAGCAATTTTTTAAAAATAGCTTATTTATTTTTAGTGGGAGAGAAAAAGAGAGGGAGATAGAAACACTTATCGGTGGCTTCCTATATACCTCCTACTGGGGATGGTGACACTACCTGGGCATGTGCCCTGGCTGGGAATGGACCCGACAACCTTCGGTGTCCAGGACGATGCCCGAAAAACTGAGCCACCCGAGGGCAGACTGACAAACACAGTGTTGGGAGGCCTGCCAATATTTCTCAGATTCAGCCCTTTGAGTTCCTGGAGGAACTGTAAAACCTTTTGTGATTGATTATAAATCTAATTACTTTAAATAAAAATGTATAGGCCCTTCCTGGACTACTAACCCACTTCTGGTAGCTCAGTCTACTTTAAATTATGACGGAAGACAGTAAACTGTATCCAGAATCTTAATGCTCCCTTGAAAACTCCAGGCTTCATTCTCCAAACCTGCTATAGACATATAATTGAAGTTTCATAAAATTACTTTTCAAATTAAAAAATATATGTATGTTAGGCATTCATAGCTATAATAATAGGAAAATTACTCACTAAACCAATGGAATGATAATTTTTCTCCTTAAAATTCATAGAGCTAGGTTGTTTTATATATTTTTATATATTTACTTATATATAAAAATATATATTATAAATATATGATTTTATATATATAATACCCATGTTATTTCTGGCCTCTTAGAAACAAAAATACAAAAAGAGGTAATCATTCATATAAAGTACTAAAATCAATTAAAACCAATTATCAACATTTTTATTAATAACAAATTAAATTTTATTTGAGTTTCTTGATGCAATGATAAATCTGGATACATGAAATCATATGCCAAACTCAATTAAAAAATAGAAAAAGGGCTTAATTCAATCATTAATTTTGCCAGCTCTGAAATCCATCTTAAATGAAGGTAAAAGTAAATTAGGGTTAATACTAAACAATAAAATACGTGGGAAAGAGGGCTTATCCCTCTCAAAATACTCCATATTGCTAGATATCACCATTAATATATTTCATGAATGTGAAAATATGTAATTAATATATTAAGTAGTGTCAATGTGAGATTTCTTATCAGGTTTATTATCCTAAAATAAAATTAACTCATAGCATTTCAGAGTATTTCACAGTGATTTGAAGCAAAAAGTATAAGAAATTAAACTAATTGGAACAGTAAGTATTTGTCACCTTGGTTTCATTATACACATACCTGCAAGATCTCAATAATCTTCAACTTAGTGTCCATCACGGTCACGTCTTCCTGCTCGGCAGGGCTCCCTTGCTTGCTGGGGTGGATACTCGGCTGAACATCAGGCACATTCATGGGGAAGATTGAGCCTCTACTGAGCACCATCTGGGTCATCATCTCTCCCACCCCATGGATGGTTCTCATGACATTGTTTCCTGCATGGGAAAAGACGCTACATCATCACACTCAACACCCAGTGAAACAACTATAAAATCAGACTGGTCACAACCAGACTGACCACAGGATAGGAAGAGTATAAAGCACAGGAAATGGTAGCATCGGCACTGCTGTGGCTCTTTCCTTGCAGATAAAGTTAAGGCATTGCAGACACATTTAAAAATGACAGGTTTTAGAAATGGAAATTTAATTTTCTCAGAAATGCTTTCAAATGATGCACCAAGAGTACGTTGCTATCAATTCTAAGGACATTCAAATCAGGTCCTTCTGTAACATGTTAGTTCCTACCAACAATCACACCTATGGGCTCTAACTTTTACAGAACCATAAAAGAAAGTGTGTTAATCTCCTCAATAAAGAGACACGAAACATTTAAATAGTGACTAGTGTCCTAATCTACCCTCAAGCCAAGGACTTTCTTTTTTTTTTTCATATGGCTTCTAAAAGAGTTTATGGGGAAGATGGTTCCAACTTTATTTTAGGAAAAAGCCTTATCTGACGAGGAAGGATGTGAAGCCAATATAGTTCCCTTTCCTTCATCCTATTTGAACAGAAAATCATTATTCAAAATCCACAAAGGCAGTTGTGTTAGAGGCAATTAGGGAAACAAATCAGTGACAAGCATGATTATTTCAGTGAGGGGATCACTGAAATAATCATCTGCCTCTTCTTCCGAGTGTGGCGTCTCACTCATTGGAGCACATCGGGTTGCTCCAAAAAAATTGCACATGGACTCATCCCTTACACGCACTGGAGTTGCTGTACGGAAGGATCTTCCTGACCCAGCTACAATTTACATTCTTCAGACTGACTGTTGTTCCGCATTCTCAATTCCCACAACAAGCAGCCAGGATTCAAAGGAACAACTGTGTACTTTCCCTTCAAACAGTGGTCTTTGCTTCGTGGGTGTTCATGGAGCTTGGCCTCACGCAAAGGTCTAACAATCTGGCCAAGGATTTTTCTTTCCCTGAGCGTCTCAGGGTGCAAACCAAGAGAAAGGACAATGGAAATAAGATGGAATGAGGTAACACTCTCAGCTCTAGGTCAAGAATGAAAAACTGTGGAACACCTACAGGATTGAAAGGCAAACAAATAAAACAAAGGAAAATATTCAAAAGATGTCTCGTAAGAATCTTGATGGTCCCATGCAGACAAACAACAATTACCATTGAGCTATTGGTAACCAGTATTATTTACACACCAGTGCATGAATTTGTATCCTCCTGGCTGATTGGGGCCATCTCACCCAGTCCCAGTCGGGCTGATAGAGTGCTGCAGCTGCAGGGAAGGACAGCAGAGGTCGGCTGGCTGTAGGAGGTTGGCTGTGGGAGTGCACTGACCACCAAGGGGTAGCTCCTGTGTTGAGTATCTGCCCCCTGGTGTTCAGTGCACATCATAGCTACCAGTTGGTTGTCTGGTTGTCTAGATATATGGTGGTAATGGTTGCTTAGGCTTTTTATATACATACACTATGAAAGGTGGAATGCCTTTTAAACTTTATTATCTTATCCAGAACTTAAATTAGTATACATAAAAGAGGTTGTGCTCAAATAGCATATTTTTGAGGAGGCAAAGAAGTTAACATTTTTTTTTTCTAGAGTGGCATCTTCCAGGAAGAAATTAACATGGTGTCTCATTCTGAGAGTCTAGGACCTTTTATTACATTGCTACTTGCATAAGCAAAATAAAGGAGGGGAGAGGGAGACTTGGGAAGCGGGTAGGGGGAGGAGAGACAGGGAAACAAAAAAAATATGGAAGGCAATTTCCAAGTTTGGATAAGGTTGAGAAAAAGAATTTCAGACAGCCCTATTTTATCAGAAAAACCTCAAGGCAGAATACTTCCTTGTCTGTGGTTCTCAAACCACCATAGAAATTGAGTACTGTATTTCCAAATACCGCCCCCCCCCCCCCCCCCCGCCGCTGTTTGCTACATGGATTTGCAGGGATGCACATCTGGTTGCTGGCAATGGTTTGGGGTCATCCATGTTCAACCAACACATTTATCTGAAACCTGATTCGAGTATGTATATGTGTTCACCTCCAAGAGATGCTTTCTCACCACTAACACAAAACAGGCTCCTTTGTTATTCTTACCCCTGCTTCACACAGAAATCCTTGGCACCCATAGTGCCTGCATCTTATTTAGATTTGCATGGAAAATAACAATTTAATCCAAATAATTATTGCCCAGAAAATTAGCCCAGACAATCCTTCCCCCAATATAGATCCTGTCACCAAGACATTAAAACCTAGAGGCCAGAAACATAATAATATGTAACACATGTTGTCAATGAAATGGAAGGGTTCATTCCTGTTGTACCACATGCTAAGATGCCTGGAGCACATGGCTACCACAAAACTCTCCTCTATGTACAGCCAACTCAGAGGTCTCAAATTAAAAGATGCTCTACTTCCTGGATTGCTTGGTGGTGAGAAGTGCTTAAATTGTGAATGACTACAGCTTGAAAAACATAAGTCAAATGCCACATAAATCACAGACGGGCAAGGCTCTAAGATCCATTTTTCTACAGAAAATTTCCTAATTCTAGACTGAGTCAGAGATGATCAGACTTCAACATTGCAAAAGGAAAAAATCTTACTATTTCTCTTTTCAACCATAATTAATTTGTATTATAGCTACTGTATTATAATAGCTACTGTATTATAATAGCTACTGTATTATAATATAAATCCTCTGGACAAATTATACCCTAGAAATTCAGCTTTTCTATGTCTTTATACTAAGCCAGAATTAATTTATTTATATATATATATATATATATATATATATATATATATATATATAGTGTATGGAAGTGGTTTGAAAATATGGGAGTCATCTTTGTTCAGTAAAAGTATGAAGGAATTGCTTAGAAAAAGAAAAAGCAGATGGATTTTTTAGTTTCTTTCATTACATGATTATATAGATATTTTCACTAATTCTAAAGCCCTCAAAAAATATAGTAAATACATATAGTAATGGTAATTGGGAATGGATTGAGAATACATTGTTTCTTTGATGGTTCCAATGAGCCAAGTTTATATTACCAATTCCAGAGAAGTGGGAAGCAATAAGAAATTTACATAACACTAAAGCTGTACTAACCATAATTTAATTTTTCTCTACTCAAGTCATTTTACTTTCAGTGATCACAAACACTGAAATGATTGGATGAAACAATCATTAACAGTTATATGGCTTATAGAGGTATAAGACATTTAACAAGATCTTGATTTAAATTTACCTTATGTCCATTGGAGTTTTATTTTAAGTCGTCTTTAATTATTATCTCTCTCTATTAGAAATACTTTTCTCCTATGAGCACATAGAATAAAAATGATAATTTGAATTGTCTCGTTGCTCAGATTTCAGATAAAGAGACAACCTTTTGAGCACTCATAAGAGAAAATAGCTTTTTGATTAGAAGAATTCTGTGAATAATTGTTCACAGTGGTTTCATTGTTCTATGACTACTAAAGTCAACTGAATGTTATAGTGATAGAAGCCAAAATATAAATAATCTGAAAACCACTCCTATTTCCCTGAAATGTGTTTTTTTACAGTTGGATTTTAGTAAATGCATCTGCTGTTATAATAATTCATTTGAAACACAATGATGTTAAACCATAAAGATATGACTCAAGCCTAGCCAGTGTAGCTTAGTGGTTCAGCATCGACCAGTGAACCAGGAAGTAACGGTTCAATTCCTGGTCAGGGTATTTGCCTGGGTTGCAGGCTCGATCCCCAGTGTAGGGTATGCAAAAGGCAACCAATCAATGATTCTCGCTCATCATTGATGTTTCTGTCTTTCTCTCCCTTCCTCTCTGAAATCAGTAAAAATATAGATTTTTTTTTAAAAAGATATGACTCAGGAAATCTTCCTACTTCCCATCCCTGCTGAGTAGCTCCTTCTAAACCTCCGCTGGCTTGAAAACACCTACACTCTAATACTGGAGTTCTCTATTTTGAACATTCTCAGCAGCAGTGCTTCCTCCGTGTGATTAAGAGTCTGGGTTGTAAAATAGCCTTTCTGTATGCAAAGAAAACAAAAGCATTCACAGGAGATCCAAGCCTTAATTAAGCTAGCAATGTAAGCAGAGGAAAAGGTAACATGGATTAAATGGATGAGCAGAAGTTAACCCCCCAAGAACAACAGATGAGCAGCACTCTCAGTTCCAAGTTAGAGCACAGGGTTTTTGCAGAGCTGGAGATCCAGTCCTCCTCGAGTTTTTACTCCACCTGCTGGACCTGGAATAAGCTTGCTCTTATTCCTTTGCCTGGAGTTCCTTTACCCACTTGGTCATTGCTCTTGCTCCCTCAATCCTTTCTGATTCCTGGTAGAATATGACCTCTTCAGATCAATATCATCCGCTCTAATGGACTGCCATCACCCGGATGCATGCACCTGTCTTACATCTCAGTCATGACATTATCAATGTCACACATCATATTTTATATTTGTTGATGTGTTTATTGTCTCCCCCTCAAAAAAGAACAGAAACACCAGGAAGACAGGGATTTGGCTGGTATAGTGCTGTCTCCAACAGCTAGAATATGTCTGACATCCAACAGTCAGTCAATAAATGCTTGTTAGATTCATACACAAATAAAAGAAAAAGATTAGGTTAACAAATGAATTAATAAAAATGAGAATGACTTTTTTGTAAGGCTTGCATAAAAAAATAAATGTCATTACATTATAGGTATGACATTTTTCATCAAGGTGAATTCTTGCTTCCTTTCCTTTATACTTACCTAAGTTTATTTTAAAAACATATATAATTGCATGTTACTTTAACACTCACTTGTTAAAAAGAAAAAAAAAACTATGAAATATAGCAATGAGGTAAAGGTAAACAATGAATCTCCCTTTAGTAAGGGCATATCGTATCCCATGTACGTTGCTAAGCCACATACACCCTTCATAGCAGGGTATGGGGGGTGGGGAAGTGACAAAGCCACAGATTAAAGTCAACA